GCACCAGAAATCGCCTGCACTGTAGCTATGTGAGGCGATACTGAGAAACCCGACCTCGGGGAGCAGTGCCATGGCAACCTAAAGAGCTTCTACACAGCAGCCTGCTACGTTTAGGGACTGGAAGCTGGCATAAGCTCTGATGCTCAGAGGAGAGGTGGAGCTTGTGTATGTCAGGACATGAACCCACGAAGCTCTTGCGAGCGTGAACTGGAGTGGTCGGATGTCGGCTGGATTGCATCAAGACGGCATGCTACAGAACTACTTGAGCCAAGAGCAAACTCTCCTTCTTGGAACCGCTCTCCCTAGGACGGCCGAGTCTGACCTTGATCACTCACCATCAAAATCTGGCTAATTCACGATAATCGCTTCTGCTGCTGTTTGCTTACGACGAGGGTAAGAACCAAGACCCGATTCTCACGTCATATATTGCATCAGCTGAGTGGTGCTCTTACGAGAAGTATTGGTTTTGCCCGTACCAGCAGTAGTGGTCGTCGTCGTCGTCGTGGTAGTAGTCGACTTTGCGGAAGTGGTGGCAGTAGTCGTAGTAGCGGTAGTAGTTAGTAGAAGTGAAAGCGGTGGTGGCAGTGGTGCTGGTCGTAGTCGCACTAGTAGCAGCGCGCGCCAGTAGGAGTAGTAGTAATAGCAGCGGCAGCAGCAGTAGTAGTGGCAGCAGTAGTTGTTGTTGTAGTAGCAGCAGCACCAGCATCAGTAGTACGAGTAATTTGAGCGTGGTTGCCACTATGACACAGTATACTAAGACTACTATGTTAGCAGTTGGTGTATCAGAAAAGATCCTGTTGTTTGATATTGCAGGTACAATTCTACCACTTGCGCTCCTCTATATTAGTCTGCTCGAAATCGTTGCTGGCACTGCTTCTGTTAGCACGACTGTGACGAGGAATGTGGCTGCTGCGATTGCTGTTGGAACTGGCGTCACAGATACTGCATTTGCAACTTCCTTATTAGTGCTCACACTATTCGCGACACCCTCTTTCTCACGCCGAAACAGCATCCGTGTTCTCCGCATTCTCTACAGGCACCTCGGCATGCAAAGAGAGGCACATGACAATGCCGGATTCTCATTGACAAGCAGGTTCCGTCAATTCGTCATTGCATTCAAGGACACTCATCATACTGAAAGTGTGGGGCGAAAATACCAGGGCCTATCAGGGGCCATCTCACAACAAGTCCGGGCCAACAGCCTGACCACTTAGGGAAAAGTGTTTGCTACACACCGCCTACACACCTGGTCTGGCCTCAAATCGTCCATGATTGTCGGGACTCGAATGTTTTCAGGAACAACGTCCTTTCCGGCTTCAGGTGCTCTCGGCACTGTTTCCCCGCCTGCGTGTCCTCCTTCAGAGGAAGCGCGGCGGTGCTCTCCGCCGTAGCCTGGCATATCTCGGGTTCAGGGTTTAGGGTTTGCGCCTCGTAGTTTAGGTTAAAGGCTTAACTATACTTTGGGTTAGGCTCATGCATGGCAGCGCTACTTTCCCTGAGGCTCTGAAACTGAACAGGTCGGAAGTTTGGGGGCCTGGAGGATTTGGTTTGAATTAATGCTCGGTTCTTCGGGCTGTAGATTCTTTCAGACATATCAGAAGAACCCGTGTCGTAGATACATAAAATTTGGTAAGCCTGATGAGCAGACTTCGCATCTTAAGCCGTTTCTCTGGACGGATTCTTGGGATGGCTTATGGTTTAGGGTTGTCTTGCCACGGCATGTTACTCTTGGAAAGTTCAATGAACCATGCCGGCCGTGCCCGAAGAACTGCTTGCTGAGCATCCTGCAGATTGAACATGTGGCTCTTCCGCAACTAGCCTAGCCGCTACATGCTCCTAATTAGGGCTTAGGGTCTACGGGTGTAGGCGTTTAGGGGTTTAGGGCTTTCCATAGAATTAGCTATAAACAAAACCTTCACGACGAGGAGGTTTAGTTTAGGGTCAAGGGCTTGCGCCTAGTAACGAGATTCAGACAGAGTAGCCTGAAGGCCTGCGCTCTCAGACGGGTAAAAAGCCGCCCCAAAACTCACAAGTGTGTCAATCCCGGCATTTCCAGAACCTTTCGAAATATGCGTCACAGATCGACAAGCATAGAACGAGATAGCAAGCCACGCACAACAAACACAGACGCACGTGTGCACGCATGAAGCTTGCTGCTGCAACACTGACAGCTGGCCCGGCATGTGAATTTCATGTGGACCAGAGGCCGACCTAGCGGTCGGATGCTCGTGCTCTTGTTAATAGTTGAAGCAGTGACTAGTCAGTTCTGGCGAAGTCTTCCTTCCAGCCGCCTGTTTCACGAAGCTAGCAGGTGAGCAGCAAGGGAAGCTTTGCCACACATAGAAGGATGGAAAAACACCTTAAACCCCTAAACCCTGAACACAAAACCTTCAAAAACAACAATTACCGCCACCTAAAGCCCCTCTAGAGCCACTGGAGTTTCCGAAAATTAGGGGTACCTCATTTTGGGGTCCTTATAGACATGATCCTAAGATTTAGGGTACTATATTGGGGTCCCCGATTTCGGAAACCCCCCTATTACAGAACAGTATACCCTTAGTAAGGAACCTCTATACCCTAAACCCTGTATACTAGCCGCATTGTGGTATAGTAGAACTGTAAGAAGTAGGAAGCCTAATGAGTAGACTGTAAGCCAAGCCGCAGACCCCCAACTCCTAAACTTCAAAACCTGAATCCCTCAACTCCTCAATCCTAAGGTCCTAATTCCTCAACTCCTAAACCCTAAACCCCTCCAACTCGTCAAAACCCTAAACTCCCAACCCCCAACTCCTAAACCATATGAATCCTAAAAGGCCCCCTTATAGAACCCCTATAGATCCCTCAAAGGAACGCCTTATAGTACCCTAAAACCTCAACAGGATACCTACCCAGCTGCTAAGACGTAGTGAAATCCCCCGAACTCCCGGACTCCTAGATCCTCAACTCCAAACCCTGAACCCCCAACTCCTGCACCCTAAACCTCTAAGAGAATCTACAACCCTAAACCTTAAATCCGAAATCCCTAGACCCTAAATCCCTAGACCCTAAATCCCTAGACCCTAAATCCCTAGACCCTAAACCCTAAGCCATAAACCCTAAGCCCTTAACCCTAAAACCCTAAACCCTCCGTTAGATGGTCCTTGAGCAGCTCCTGGAAGCGTTTTTCGGTCTTCGTCGGGTCCTTGCGGCGCCGCTCCGCTGGCGACGCCGGAGAGATGCTGCGGCTCCTGTATAGCGGAGGCCAGAAAGTTGGAACATCATCATCCTCATGCCCTTAAGGTGAAGTATAAGGGATCCTAGCACAAATCCTCCTAAAGCCATGTTCCAACTTTCTGACGTCTACTATATGTTATTGTATATAAAAGTATATTATAGCACACACACACACACACATATATATATATATATATATATGTATAATACATACATACATACATATATATATATATATATATATATATATATATATATATATATATATACATCTACATACATACATGTGTATATATGTATATATATATATATATATAGAGTAGGTTATAAAAAAATACTAAAGTGTATAATGGTAGACTAGAGCATATTGTAGTATATATTACAGGAAAGGCTTTTAGCATGCTACAGCAATAGTATGGTACATGGGAAGTTGTTGAGTTCAGGGTTTACATATAGCCTCAAAAGTTTAGACAGTTTAGAGTTTAAAGCTCGGGGCTTACACCCTAAACCCTAAATCCCTACGCTCTCTCGAACGTGCTCGTTTCGAGCTTACGAACTCCTAAACCCAAAGCCCCTAAATCCCTAAACCCTCAGCTCCTTATTCTAGTATATTCTAGCATGTCATAGTATTTTAGAGTATATCATAGTATATGATAGTATATTGTAGTCGAAGCCTAAACCTTCATGATGTGAGGAGGTGGTTTCAGTTGCGACATGCATGCGGCGAATGCGTTGTAGCATCCTGGATCTGATGCCGCGATCTTTGGACGGTCGGAGTGTCTAATATAGCGTCTTCGGGTTTAGGGTTTTGGGAGTTGGGGTTTAGGGTTTAGGGTTTAGGGCTTTAGGAGTTGGGGTTCAGGGTTTAGGGTTTAGGGCTTTAGGAGTTGGGGGGTATTGATAGATTGCTTATTTTGAGGAGCCCCATGGAAGAATCACGGCAAGTATTCAGAACGCCGAACCCTTCAACCCTCCTCAACGCAAAAGCCAAGCCCTGAAGGCAACCCTAAACCACTGGACCGCAACGGCAACAGCCAACCCAAAGCCTCCAAGCTTACACCCAAAGCTCCAACACAACCAAAAGCCCCAACATCGCAAACCCGATCCAACACCTCCAAATCCCAAAAGCCAATCCCCCTGAACCCTAAATATAATATATTATTACTTACTGTAATATAGTACAATATAATATAATTAAACTCAATATAATATAATACAGAATAATATACTATAATGTAATGTAAACCCTAAACCAACCTCCGACAGGAGCTCCTGCTGCTCTCGCGAGTCTCCGAACTCGAGGCCCTGGGAATTAGGGGGCATCTTCGAACTTTCCGTCTCGGGCCTTCTCTGGTAGCTCCTTTTTGGGGTTCATAGGAGTTCCTTTTGGGTTTAGGGCTTTAGGGTTTTTTTTATCAGAAAACAGGCGCAACACACCTTTTACACGGGTGGTTGCCGTGACTCAAGGGCCCTACAGGTTTTGGGCCAAAAGGGCAGCAGTGTCGCTGCACACTGTACAAAGTACTTACGCAAAACGGTCCCGTTTGACACTCCCAACTTTTTGTTGGCCTAAAAGCGTGTCGGGACGTTGAGGGAAAGGGTCAGCTGTTTATCGCTTCCCCTGTGAGCCGAGCTGGGAGCTCAAGGCTCTCTCAGTAGAGAGGCAGCCGGTTGAACCGTAGCTGCAGGTGGGTTCGTGGTGCAAAACGTGTCCAGGTGCACAGACTTCGGAGGTTGATAGAGAGGACCGGCCTTACTGGGGCGCGCAGAGCACCACGCAGTAGTCTTTAGGCGTCGGACCTCAGCTGAACCGTCGGCTGTCGGAGCCAGTTGCGGAAGGTCTCGCGCAGACTGTCAGAGACTTTGGTCAGACCATCTGCCCACATGGCGGTCGTAGGAACCCAGCGCATGTCTTGAGGGGCAATGGTTTCCTGAACCGCTCTGATCGTCAGGCCAACGCGCTTTTCCTCAGTATTGAAGTTAGCGGCGATGGCGGCGTCGTACAGAGACTTGCAATCAGTGGCGTGGCAGTGACGCAGTGTCTTGAGATTGGTGACGGGGTTAGCTTCACACCCGAAAATAATCTCAGAGAACATCTGGTTTGCCAGGACGCCTCTATCGATCGAGTCATCTGCGGCGTATGCCTCACCAGCCAGAGTGGAGCGCACCACACGTGGAGTGCGGGTGCTCTTCCAGTCAAGAAGCACGGCGGGGGCATTGCCTGTCAGCGCGTCCGGTGTCGTGAGACACACAAGGAGGCCTTCTTGGCTTTTGTACTCCTGGGCATTCGCCCATGAGCAGTCACCGTAGCTCACGATGATGCTGTGCTCGTTGATGGGGATCCCGTGGAAGACCAGCCCATCGCTGTGGGTACGAGCGAAGTACTCCGACAGGGCGTACAGCTGCTTGAGCTCACTGAGGGTGGAGTCGTTGCCGCGGTTCATTAAAGAAACCGTAGCAGCACCGTCGGGACGCGTCTGTCCCACGAGCCACTGGAGTGCTCCACAGACGGAGCGGAACTCCGAAAGCTCAGCTTCAGTCAGCTTCGGGTCTTCACGGCCTCGTTGGCGAGTCACCTTCCCGGGGGCAAGAGTACGGATGTACTCCGATTGCGTCACCCGGAGGACAAAAACACCGTTTTCCTTGACCGTCCGGAGCTGCTTTCCTTTGAAGGTTATCACGTCGGTGTCGAAGGAGGTCTTGCCCCACTTGAAGAGGCGCGTCAGCACCGTCAAATCAAAATGGTCGGCATAAGTGACTAAAAAGTCGTCCACGTACACCAACGCTATGCAGTCCAGACAACCTTCCTTGTCGTAGTGCAGGAAGCACATCCGGTCAAGGGCGTGAGGTCGAAACCCGGCCGCGAGTAGTCGCTTGCCTACCTCGAGAGACCGCAAGCGTGGCGCGTTCGCCAAACATCCAGTGACCTCGTAGATGGTGGCGGGGAAGGCTCCGGCCTTCTCCAGTATTGGGTCTCTCGGAGACATCATGAAGAGGCGATTGGGTCGCTCTCCTTCATTCTGCCTCCCTTGGAGGAATGCCGTGGTGGCATCGGCGCTCCAGAGTCTCCACACTCGGCGGTTCCGTAAAAACGAACGGTTTCGTCCGCTAATATACACCGCGAGGAGGATGTGCTCTGTAAGGCGTGTCGGCGTTGGTGCGTCCCTGCTGATCGCGTGAAGGTCGGGATCACGGTGACCAAGGACCACCACACGGCACTTGGCCTGCAAAGCGCCTTGGCCGCACGCTTTGTCGCGGTAGCACGCGCGTGACTTGAGAACGCGGGTTCTCAGAAGCGGGTCCTTGAGGACCGCGTTGGCTTCTGCGTCACTAAGGGGTCGGACTGGTGCCCAAGTGCCCCATTGCTCGTGCTCCTTGCGAGCGGCTTCGACGTACTTGTCGAAAACCACACGCGGCTGCTTCAAGATTTCTCGCCAGGGGATCTCCCGATTAAGGGCTTTCACCTCTTTGCGAGTCATCTTGTTGACATTGGCGAGCTGCTTTTGGTCGCCGACGTAGCACACTCTCCAGGACGGATGACAGTCTTCCACGCCGTCGTCCTCCGCACCCTGGATAGGTGGCTCTCGGTGTTCTGAAGCGAACACCTCGGGAAGAGATGCCAGGTCTCCCCGATGGTCGGGCTCCCAGTCGGTACCATCCCAGCCAGGTGGCCTTAGGAACACCTCTCCGGACTCGCAGATCAAGGTCGCTTGGCTGCTCAACCTGGATATCCGCTTTGCAGGAGTCGAGGGTGCTGCAGAAAGTCTCTCGACTGTACGTTTGGTACCTTGGCTTGCCATTTCAGAGTCGTCTTGCAGAGGGACCTCAGAAGCCGGTGGCGAGTAAGCCGGAGGAGGTAGCGGGGGCGCAGAGGCTGCGCTCGCTGCCGCTGTGTCTGCCAGGGCCGCCAGGTCGGCGCCGTCGGTGCCGTCCAAGGCGGACTGTACTTGCTCCTCGCTCGGCTCAGGTGGAAACTCCAGTTCCGGAAACAGGGGTTCGTCGTCTGGCGGCGCTTCACCCTGCCAGTCTTCCACCTCGCCGCTCAAAAGGTTAGCTTCGGCGTTCTTGAGGGCCTTTATGTCTTCGTCGGTGGGGGACCAGGCTTCGAAACCATAGGCTGGCCTCAGCTGGTTCCTGTCCACCTTCACCGTCTGAGTGCCCAGTTGCACCCACGCGCAACGTCCATCGAAGGTAACCAACCTGCCGATGACATAACCGCCGCGTTTGCGGGGGCCTTTTCCGCGAAGTTGGGACCGCCAGACGGCACACTTGGCGCCGGGCGAGATGTCCTCTATCCGCATGTGCGCGGTTTTGCGAAGGAGGGCGCGTCGGACGTGTTGGTCCACGTTGACCTGCGCCGCTGCCTTCTGAGCCTCAGCTCTGTAGACGATCGTGTGGCGGTTGTGCTCTTCCAACGGAATGTTGGCCGCCAGTGACGAGTCGTCAGTCAGGAGCTCCGCCGGGACGCGGGGAATGCGTCCGAACACGATAGCGCAGGCTGAGAGTCCGCGGGAACGGGGCATGGAGTTGATGGCATGCGTGGTTGCGTCCACCGCCATCTCCAAGTCCTCCGGCGTAGCGGCCGCCATGCTATCCACAACTCGGTTGAGGACCTCGCGGTAGACCGCGTTGCACCGTTCCGCCTTGCCCAGGCGGTGGTGTGCCTCGGCGGGAACGTAGTCCACCTCCGTTGAGTTGTCGACGAGGTACGTCCAGAAGTCACCCATAAACGCGCCGTCCTGGTCTAAGGTGACCTTGTGAGGGAAACCAAATTTAAGGGACGCGCCCAGGTCGTGCGGAAGGCTTCGACCACTGTTTTAGGGTTGCGGTCCTTCAACACGCACACTTGCTGGAGGTTTGTCGCCTCGTCGACGATCCCCAGGAGTGGGTAGTTCGTGCCGTCAACGGTCCGCGAGTAAAAGATGTCCATTTGGACACAGTCTCCCAGTTGTCCGACGAAGCGGTCCACGAGTCGAGAAGGTCGCGGGGGAGCGTTTCCGCGCATGCGAAGGCATGAGGCACATGTGAGTGCTTTTGCCGCGGAGACGGCCTCGGGCGTGACGGCGCCGTTCTGTGCCAACATTCGGACAAGGTCCGCACTTGACGGGTGTCCCAAGTTCACATGTAGGCGTGCCACTGCCCGCTTTATCTCCCGCGGTGCCTTGCAGTTCGGAAAGGTAATGTCCGCGCCGTGCACTTCCTCAGGCGGAACGTCCGGGTCAACCGGAGGGGTCCCTGTCGGCTGAGGGGGCGCTGGGACATCGGTTGGATCCTCAGGCGCATCGCCGTAGACGCATATAGCGTATCTCACGGGTTTAGGAAACCGCTGGTGAGGGAAGGCGATATTGGCGACGTCATCCGATTCACAGGCCACTTCGTCGTCGTTGTAGAGCAGGACGGTGGCACGGTGAGTGAAGGGGATGTCTCGAGGGAAGCGCCGCGCCTTAGGCGCCTTGGCGAGCTGAACTCGCTCAATCCGCCAGGGGATCATTTCCGAAATCCGCTTCCAGATCTCGTGACCGGGTGTGAGGGTGATCTGAGGGGAGGCGCTTGTGCGAAACACCTGCTCCACTTGATCCATCACACCACGCCATTCTCGGTCGTCCTGGACGTAGTCCAGGTAGTAGGTTTCGTGGAACGGGGGCTTTGTTGAAACCCGGTCCCAGGTGCCGCAGGCAGGGGTGCGAAGCGGACGCTGCGGCGGAACCGTGTAGGCTCCAACTCGCGCACAACTCGGCGGACGCGGTAAGCAAGTCCAGCCGGAGTCGCTTCGGGGGTAGGCTGAGCCAGCCACTCGTGGTTAGCTGTAACCCTTTCCTCTGCCTGGGTCACGTGTGCATGGCTGCTGCTGAGAAGCCTGCTGACGTTCTGATTGCTCCACACCGTGTGGTCCGGGGGAGCTATCAGGGTCCAGTAGTGACCTCGTCTTTGCTGCTTCTCTAGCGCCTTGAGCGCAGCCTTGCTCACTTCCGGGTCCGAGTGAGCCGGGGAGCTCGTAAGCCTCACGGCCAGGACTAAAGGCTTGTAGTAGTCCAGTGCCTCCGTGAGCTTCTTCCGGCCGCGGTGAGAGGCGACGTCCCAGGTCTCCTCCACACCTTTGAGGCCGAGGGCTTCAACGTTGCCCTTGCTGTCACACGGCGTGACCTGCATCAGGTCGTGAATCATAGTCGATCTTTCTCCGTGCATTCACGGCCTTGGCCAGCTCTGCACGGAGCGTGGACAGCTCCAGTCCCAAGGCTGCCCCTGCCTTCCGAGCTACTCCCGCCAACCGCTTCCTCTGACCGGTCTTCAGGAAGTCCGAGTCCAGTCGTAGAACTCGTGCTCGCTCGAGTCTTCCGGCTCGTAGCTCATCCCCGATGCGAGGCTCGACAGGTCGAACTCCTGAGGTGCCCTGCGGGTCCGAGGACGGAAGCGTTGGGAGCTCACCGAGGAAGGGGTACTCGAAGGCTGGGCCTTGGGCGTTGCCTTGGCTTTGGCCTTCGTACCGGGGGCCGTGTTCGGGGCCACAACCGTAGTCGGCGTTGGCAAGGGCAGAGTAGACCGCCCACGTGACTGAGGCCAGTAGACCCAGCCAGCGGGGTCTTCTTGCCACTTCCACCGGGTACCGCACACCCTGCACAGGGCGTACCTGCCGGTTGCGTTCCCGTAGCGGTTGATCTCGTTGGTCGGATGCGTGCAGTTTGCCGCGGTGACCGTCGCTGGGGGGATCGATGCCTGCAGCATGTTCCTCGCCCAGTCCACTTCGAGCCGGCAGCTCTGGCGCATCAGCACCACGAGGCGGCTCCTCAAGGTGAGGACCTCCACCAGGAGGCGACGCCATGCGCACAGCCAGAGCGGGGGCTGGGGCGCTACGCGTCCGTGCAATGGCAGCTGGTCGGGGCTACCACGCCACTTGCAGGAGAGGGGCTCGAACCAACGGCTGCGGAGGCGCGCACTTCAGCAGAGGCTCTCACTTGAAGTGCTTCACTCTCAGACAGACCGTGGTTGTCGGCACTTGCAGCGCTCTGTTCGCTTTTTGCAGGGCCGAAAAGCACCTCCTCGGTCGGGGCACGTCGGTAGTGCCACCGGTCCAGGTCGCACGGAAGTCCGTCGACAGGAAAAGACGTGACACAGATGGCGAGGTGTCCGCCCAATGTCACGTGGAGGGGGACCTCGATCTGGAGGGAGCCGAGGAAGGCTTTCTCAGAAGGGAGGTCGAGCACCGCTCCAAGCTGCTTCAGCATCTTGAGGGACGCCAGCAGCGGGATCTCCGCGGCAAGCAGGGAGGCCACCAAGACCATGGGCCTGCCGTCGATGCCTGCGGGGATCGCCAGCGAGGCAGAGCTCATCGCCGGCTTGCCTGCGCCGAACTTGAAGCGCTCGGACTCCGGCAGCCACTTGCAACTCAGGCCAAAAGGGCGCAAGGTCGCACAGTGGGCCAGGTAGGCCTTCCTGCCGATGCAGGTCTTCTGGCAGGCAGTGTCGACGATCATGAGGCCGGCGGCCGTCTCCGGTGCGTTGGTCAGCACCTGGGAGACCTGCGGAGGGATCCACTCCTCGAGGGTGGTCATCCACACAAAGTAGGACTCGTGGGTCTCCTGGCCCTGTCCGTCTTCCTCCGCTTGGCCCTCGGCAGCGTCGTAGTACTCGTCGTAGGGTTGGTCGTCGTAGGCCTGCTCGTCGGGCGGCGGCTCCTCGTAGCCGCCCTCGTGAGGAGCTTCCTCGTGCTCCGTCACGTGGACACGGGAGGCGCCTTTGCCCTTAGGCTTTCCGCCTTTGCCTTTGTCTTTGCCCTTGGGCGAGCCCTTGCCGTGGGCTCCTTTCCCTTTGGGCTGCCCAGTGGAGGAGGTCGAGCCAGTGCCCTTCCCATCCGTCCACCGGCGTCCTTGCGTGAAGGACTTCAGCTTCTGGGCCGTCACTGTGAGGACCTCCATGGCCTTGGAGATTTCCTCGAGCTCGGCGTCTTCGGCCTGGGGCTCAGCAGCCTCTCCGGTGGCCTCGTCGGGAGCCTCCGTGAGGTGTACCCGCTTCGCGTCCTTGCCCTTTCCTTTCTCACGCCCTTTTGCTTGGCCGCCAGCAATGGGGGGAACAGGAAGGGTGTCCGGATACTGCAGAAGCAGAGAGTCACGGATCGGGATCCACTCGAAGCTCTGGCCGGAGGCGATGAGCACCATTCGCGCCTGCTCGCTCGTAAGCCCAGAGCGCTCCAGCAGCCGGTGCCCTAAGGCTTCACCGGAGTACATCCCTTGGATGTTGACCCCGAGGTGACCGGCCCGCATGGATTCGCCGCCGTGCCTCCGGATGCTCTCCCACGCACGGAGGTAGTGGTGCTTGCGGTACACCAGGGCATCCGAGGCGGCGCTCTCCAAGCGCTTGAGAACGCCCTCTACGCCACCTTCCTCGATGGTGGAGAAGGGCACGAACTCCAGCTCTCGCTCCGGGAGCCCGGTCAGGGACGGAGCAGGGCCGCGTCCCCATCAGGCATCCACGCTGCGACCCTCCGCGACCACAACCTGACCCTCCGCGCGTAGCGGTCGAAGGACCCTACGTCGCGAGCAGAGGCGTCGTATTTTGGTGGTTGTGGGGGAGCGCCTCCACGCCAGTGGATCCCTGGGGCAGGCCCCTTCTTGGGATTCCACTCCTGGTCGGAACGCTGCGAGCGTGAGCTGCGGTTCCCCAAAAGCGTGACGGCATGGTCGTCGATGATGCGGTCACTGAGCGGCGGGGGCAGTGGAGGACCGCCCGCCTTGACCGGCGCACCATCGCGTGGCATGCCCTGCGAGCCAGTGCTCGCTTTGCCGTGCGAGCGATTGCTCGCCGGCCTGCTCGGTGCCTTGGCCGGGGCTGCTTGGGCAGCACGCAACGGCTCTGCACGCTGAGCTGGCGCTTCGGACGGATCCGGCGGTGTGACCGTTGGGTCGTCCGTCAGCGTCTCTTCCTCGGCAAAGTGGCCTTCGCCCTCATCGTCATCGCCCTCGTCCTCGTCGTCCGACGGGGAGGGGTCACCGTGCATCCTCTCACGGCGGTCCGCCGGGGACGTGGGAGAGGGCTCCGGCGGAGGAGTCGCCGGAGGCGGCAGTGGAGGGCTCTCCTCACTCTTTGCCGTCTTGCGCGGGCGCTTCTTCTCGGGGCTGGCGCGACTGTCCGAGCCTCGGTCGCGCCTCACCGCGTACTTGCGCCTCTCGCGCTGCTTCTTGCCCGGCCTGTTCTTCTTCTTTGCCGGCGCCGGGGGGTCCTTTGCAGCCGCGCTTCCGGTTCTTGTCTTTGCCCTTGTGCGCGGGCTTGCCCTTCTTCCCCTTTTGCCCTTGGGACGCCTCGGCGGGGTACGGGGCCTGGAGTCCCCGCGCCGGTCCCGGGAGTCGTCCCGGCGCTGTGGCTCCGAAGAACCAGTAGCCAGGTCCATCGCCGGGCGGCACCCAAGCCCACGACCCTGGTCCCAGTCCTGGGACACGTGGCGGTGCCGACATCGGACTCTGAGAGGAGTCGAAAGCCGGCCCTGCGCTTGGGCCCGCACTGCCTGAGGCACCAGGGTCGCCTTCTTCCTCGTCACCCTCGTAAGGGTTGAAGGGGGCGCGACGCCCTGGGGTCCTGCCTCGAGGCGGGGTGCGAGGAGCGGGAGGTCCACCACGTCGCCTCCTCGCCTCCTCTGGGTACAGGCGCTCATCTCTGCCGTCATAATCGAACCAGGTATCGTTATACGGCTTCCAAGCGCCCGACTTCGCCCTCGCCTGCGGCAGAACTCACGCTCAAAAGAGGGGCTTCTGCGCTCGCGAGGCTCCTTGGGCTCTTCCTTCACCCGGCCGTCCCCTCTGTCCTTCTTGAGGGGATACGCCTTTGGCTCGGGTGCCCGGGTCTCCTTCTTCTCCTTTTGGTTGTCCCGGTCCTTCTTCTCCTTCTTGGGGTCCCGGTCCTTCTTGTCCTTCTTGGGGTCCCGGTCCCTCTTGTCTTTCTTGTTGGCGCTCTCCTTCTCGGGGCGCTCTCGGCCTTCCTTGGCCCTCTTGGCGTCCCCTTTGTCCTTGGGGTGCCGTGGCTCCTTCTCCTCAGGCTCAGCCTTCACTGCCGTGGGCTCCGGAGTGGCCGCCGCGGCTGTGGGAGCCGCTGGGCCTGGAGAGGCGGCCGCACTAGCCTCTCCGTTGGCCTCCATTGGAACCCTCGGAGGGATCACCATGGGCACTCCAACAGGCACCCGAAAGTACCCTATGAACTGTCCCGTGGCAGTGTACAGTCCCTGCTGGGCCGTCCCATCGGGGTAGATGGTCGTCGGCTGGCCCGGAGAAGCCGGGAGCGGTGGTGGTCCCGGCGGGGCTCCCAGACCCGCTACCGGCACCGCCGTCGGAGGCAGCGTGCTAGCAGCTGCAGCTGGGGGCGGTGGTGGCGCTGAGCTCTTCTTGGCCACCCGACCGCTCGGAGGGGGAGCTCCAGGGCGCACTGTGGCGTCGCCCTCGGGAGCTTCTTCTTCGGCTTCTTCCGCCTCCTCCTCGCTGCTGCTGTAGGTCTCGCTTACAGGAGCTTCCCGGGCTGGGTCCCGGTTGCCGTCTCGCCAAGTACGTGGCGGAGGCATCCTTCTTTGCGCTCACGCCGCTTCGCGCGGGGGCGCCTTCTTCACCAGGCTCGCTGGGCCGATTGGCCTCAGCTCAGCACTCGCGGGATTCCGCGCAGTGCTCGCGCTCCGGGCCGATCGTGGCCGGGCGCTTCTCAGAGGCACCAATGCCGCTTCGGGCTGGTGCTGCAGAAAGGGGGCACCTCAGCCAGATGGCGAGGCACAGAAGATTGCGCACCTCAGCCGGAAGGCGAGGCACCGAAGGTTGTGCACCTCGACCCGAAGGTGAGGCACAGGAGGGGAGGTGCACCTCGGGCCGAAGGGCGAGGCGCGTAAGCACCGTCGGCCCTAAGGCGAGGCACTCCAGGTGAGAACCTGGAGGGAGCTATCGAACCCGAGGCCCGATCTTCTCTCGCTCCGCTACCAGTATCAGAAAACAGGCGCAACACACCTTTTACACGGGTGGTTGCCGTGACTCAAGGGCCCTACAGGTTTTGGGCCAAAAGGGCAGCAGTGTCGCTGCACACTGTACAAAGTACTTACGCAAAACGGTCCCGTTTGACATTTTTATCGTTTCTGCTATCTTTGAGCACCTTTTCTTCGTCTGTTGCTCGAGGTGTCATGAATGCACCAGTTTTGGGGATCGGGTCTGTGGGCTAAGCGATTTTAGGGTTTAGGGCCGAGGGTTTTAGGGCTTCACGGCCCTAGTTGTTGTGTGCTTTCCTCCAGGCTCTCGGATTAGAGGGTTGAGGGCGTAGCTTTCAGGGCCAGCGTTCAGGAGTTTCGGGTTTCGGCATCTCGGGTTTAAGATTTTTGTTCAAGGGTCCAGGAGTTGTGTAAACCTAACCTACACCCTGCAAAACTTGCACTAAACCCTAGACTGACTACCCTAAACCCTAAACCCTAAACCCAAAGCCCCTAAACAACCTACTATGGGGGCCTTAACACTTTTCTCTGCTCTTTTTTTGGGGGGGGGTTCCTGATGAACCATAGTACAATGGGCTCCGAAAAAATATTCTAATCATTCAGGCCCCCCAAGGAACCCTATTCTAATTATTGAGGCCCCTACATTAAGTTGGAGTGAAGGTTTCGAGCCTCAGAACGACGATTCCGAAGGCACAGCCCAAGGCGTAAAGTGTAGGACTTAGACATGGCAGGCTCCGAAAACCTGGGGACCCTCACTACTAATATAGTACCCTAGGGAGTAGGATCCTTATGATAAGGCTCTGATACGGAGCCCAAAATAAGGTATTTTGGAACTCCAATATGGGAGTTTCCGACAATAAGGGACCCTAGTATAGTACCCTAAATAATAGGATCCTTATTATAAGGACCCCAAAATAAGGTACCCCTATTTTTGGAACTCCACTATGAAGCGCGGAAGATTTAGATGAACGGCTTGCGAGGTAAACTTCGGAATTGGGGGCTCCTTGCCCTGAGGCCTAGACGTGCAGCTCGTCGGGTTTGGGGTATACCTTAAATACCGTAACCTACTTCTTTGCATGTTCTGCTTAAGGATCTCTCATAGATTATACACCTACTGCTTTGCATGTTCTGATTAAAAGATCTCTCATAGATTATACACCTACTGCTTTGCATGTTCTGATTCTAAGCTCTAGTATAGACTGTACAGGAACCCTACAAAAACAGTTGGCTTTGAACTCTGGGACTCCCCCGCCTTGGTTGACTGGACATCGCTGCGAGGTTCGGTGGCGAGGTGCTGCGGCGCCGCGGTGCCTGGGTGCAATTCTGGCCCGACTATACTGAACTTAGAACCCAGCAAAAATTATAATTTTCGCTGTTTCTTAGGGATTATCATAACCAAAAATTAAAAATCATTTCTAAGTACCCCTAAGCCGAGACTGCCCGCTGAACCAGAAATATGCGTTTTTCGAGATTCCCCTCCTCTTTCTACAGAATCCTGTCTGTCTCGTCGCAGAACACCGCGGCGTCCAGCACCGCTTGTGGAAGGCAGTCGTTTCAGACTGCGCTGCTGTCTTACCGTGCCTTGCTCGGCTTGCTCGGTTCTCAGTGTGGGCATCGGACAACAGCGAAAACAAGTCAGATCTCGGCAACTCTTCGTAGTCTTCTTGTCGGTGTTCAGTTTGGCTCCTGTTCTTTGCACTCATACCTGCTACCTGCAGTCTTCTGGCAGGGATATAACTCCCTCGAAGTGCGAGCAGTATCCGCAAGGCTTTCGGCTGCAACAGCTGGTGCTTCAGAGTATGTATGACGCTTGCAAGCCCCGAGCCCTCCCTCCTTTCCTAAAGCTGAGCTTCAAGCAGAAACTACCTGAGATCAAACCCGCTCACGTGGCACAAGTCTGTCAGCGCAGCAAAACCCCTAAACCCTAAGCCAAACATCCTTGAGTCAAGTACCGTATAGAAACCCCGTGCTAGTGCCACCTGATTGTCAGCTCGAGTGGCTCGCGCTCTTGTGGTTTCCTCCACATGGCGCTTGATCACCTCGTAGTAGCACCCGAGAAAGCATCTATGCAATTACTATTACTCTTACTATTACTATTCCTATGACTATTACCATTACTATTACTCTTACTCTTACTATTACCATGACTATGACTATTGCTGTTACTATGACTATTATAATTACTACTACACTCAGTGCCCGTTCACCATTCATGAGCTCTTCCGTTAAAGCCGAGTTCTTCAGTCGCTATGATGCAGGTCAAAGGGCCGAAAGCTCCAATCCTTCATCTCTGAAGCTGGTAATGATAGGGGCCTTAACGTAAGAATTACCATATGGCTTTGGGGACAAAACTCTTAAGGTAAGAATTAGAATATGGTTCTTTTGGGGCTATTCACAATATATACCTTAAATCAGGGAACCTCATGGCACAGTTCGGAGCGCTCCCGAATCCCCACAACCTCTTCAGCAAGGGGACGCCCTGCGGAAAGTCATCGAAGACGGTCGGGCAGCTCGTTCTGTTGTCCCAGCCGCCAGCAGGATAAGCCTGCCGTCTCGGGAGGTGTTGGGCACTCCGCTCACCCCATCTATCAACCATAACACAACACGTAGACTGAAACAGTATTCATGATGCATGATATGAATACTAGTCACGAATACCAGAAAACTCACACGAAGCCACAATGTCAACTACTGGAAAAATCACTGCTCTGCACAGATACAATCGATGGAACCAACGACCCTAGCACTTTCTTCGATGAACTGAACTACGAGAAGCACTTAGTCGTTCGGGGGCCGTAGACCAGTAGACCATGATCGTCATCATAACAATACCCAGGGCCCCAAAGTAGTTCCTTTTTCGGTAGTACATTATAGTCCCTAACCAAAAAAGAGGACACACCCAAAAAGGAACTACTTTGGGGCCCCTGGGTAATAATGGTATATAACAATACAAAAACAGTAACCCGTTAATGACAGGGGCAACATTGCCATGTACCGACAGTAACGTTCACGTTACCGTAGCAGGACACAGAGGCGCGCAACGAGATGGCTGGGTGCCTGGGAACGTGTCTAAGAATCCTTACATGCGATTTGAAGCTACGGTCAAGACAAAACTGAATCTAAACCCTTAAACCCTAAACCCTAAACTCCTAAACCCTAAACTCCTAAACCCCAAACTTCTAAACCCTAAACCCTGAACTCCTAAACCCAGCAGTCGCTCCTCGGCAGTCTTTGTGGCGAAGCGCTCCGATTCTTCGTCCTTCGAAGAGCCTGGGGTGGCTTCAAAGTCTGGGTATTTTCTCATTTCAGGTCTAGGTCTTAGGGTTTAGGGTTTAGGGGTTTAGGGTTTAGGGTTCTGGGCTATTAAGGTTTTGGTTATTCTCGTTTAAAGTTTAGGGTCTAGGGCACATGCGGGTTGCCATGAAGAGGAGCATGACCACGACGGCGGTGGGAGTCGTTCTCTCGCAACTCTCGTGCTCGCACGTGTTGGATTCGAAAGTTGTCAGGGTCTAGGGTTTAGGGTCTGCAGAATTAGGGTTTAGGGTTTAGGGTTTAGGGTTTAGGGCACTTTCGCCTGCGTAGCAACCACTGGGGCACCTGTCTGCTTGACCAGAGCCCTTAGAGAATTCAAATCTCTTGTGGGCTCTTTGCCGAGAAGCGCCCACGAAGACCCGACATTTCTTGGTTCCTAGCCCGCGCCCTGGTCGAGCCCTACTTGAAGTTTGATGGACATCTGCGCCTGGGCTTCTGCATTGCGGGAATCACTAGAAGTCAAACTTGACAGCTGAAACGAATGGCCCTCAGCGCCGTGCACCTGCAACCGGGGCCCAATGTACCCAAAACCCAACACCACCCCCAACCCTGAGACTACCCTACCAGCCCTAGACCTGAGCCACGCCACCCACAACCATACACCCATAAACTCCCAAACGATAAACCCTAGCCCTTAGACCTAAACCCCCAAACCCTAAACCCCAAACCCTAAAAGCAAAAACCACGGAATCGCTCTCCCGGCCTAGCTCTCGGAGACCTGCGGACCAGCGCCCTGTGAAGCCAACACCCAGCTTCCCGAGCTCCTCCGCGTGACAAGCAGAAGGGGTTGAGGATCTGGGGGTTGGGGTTTAAGGTCTTAGGGCTTTAGGGTTTTAGGGTTTTAGGGTTTAGGGTTTTAGGGATTCAGGGTTGAAGGATCTGGGGTTGGAGTTTTGGGGTTTTGGCACTCCGGGTCTTTGAGCGGGGCTTCGGGTCCAACGACGAGGACTGACACTGCAACAGCTACTGCGCCCTTAAGGCTGAAAGTCTAGAATGTCAGGGTTTAGGGCTTTAGGGTTCAGGGTTTAGGGGTTCAGGAGTTTAGGGTTTAGGGGTTTAGGTCTTGGGGTTTAGGGTTTTAGGGTTTAGGGTTTAGGGCACTTCCACCACTGACAATGGGAATTTATAGTAATGCACAAAAGCGAGCCGCTGTCTCGGAAGATAGCGGCAGCATTGCCGACGACTTAACGCCGACCACTGGAGGTGGTGCAAACACCTTCAAACTAGACTCGATGCCGATCGTTCGACTGTGTCGTCTTGAACCAAACCTACCCTCCACGCGC